GTGGTAGAGCGCTAGCCTTGAGCTGAAGAGCTGAGGGACAGCACCCAGGCCCAGAGTTCAGGCCCCACGACCGGACCCAAAAAAAAAAAAAGAATCTCCCTGCTTACTCCAGAGCCACATGATCAAGGTTGTGGCCGTGAAGTTTGCCAGTCATTTTTATTTAGGAACTCCTTGTTGAGGAGCTGGCCGCGGTCCAGCCCCTGCCCAGGCTGCAGAACGTTCCCAGCGCCCCAAGTGAGGCTCCCCGTCCCTGCCCCCACCGCAGCCTGCGTGACGGCCCCCGCCCCCCATCCCCAGGGCAGCGGCTGTTTGGAGAGAGCATCCTGGGGCTCACGCAGGGCTCTGTGTCAGACCTGCTTTCCCGGCCCAAGCCCTGGCACAAGCTGAGCCTGAAGGGCCGGGAGCCGTTCGTCCGCATGCAGCTGTGGCTCAGCGACCCCCACAATGTGGACAAGCTGCGCGACATGAAGAAGCTGGAGAAGAAAGGTAAGGGGGGGGGGCAGCGCGCCAGGGCTCAGCCGGCGCAGGACTGCGGGAAGTAGCGCTCCCAAAGAACTGGGTGATTGAGACAGCCACCCCCACCTGTCTGCCCTGCACACACACACGCGCACGCGCACACACACACACCACACACACACACACACACACACACACACACCAGGACCTTGTCACCCTCCCTGCCTGCTATCCAGACACCTACCAGCAGAGGGCAGGACTGCCCAGCAGATGGGGTGAGGAAGGGATTGAGGCCCCAGGGCCCCCTCAAAGTCCTGCCCCCATGCCCTGAAGGCCTCCCGCCAGGCTCCACCCCTTAAAGGGCCCCACAGAACGGGGGGGGGGGGGAGGCGTCAAACTAGACCAGTGCTTTTTTGTGTTCGTTCGTGATTGGGGCCAAGATGTGCCCTGCCCTGGGGCTCCCCACAGCCAGCAGGCTGGCCGCCCAGTGGAGGGGGTGGGAGAGGAGTGGGGAGCCCACCGGTGGGTCATTGAGGGCGAGGGCTGGCTGGTCATCGCCCTCCAGGCTTCCCCATCCCCGGGAGCAGCAGATGGGGTGCGCGGGGGCCCCTCAGCCTCCCTCCCTCCCCGCCAGCCTACCTGAAGCGCCGCTACGGGCTCATCAGCCCTGGCTCGGACCGCGAGTCCCCGGCCACGCGCTCTGAGTGCCCCAGCCCATGCCCGCCGCCGCTGGAGCTGAGCCTGCTGCAGGTGAAGAAGCCCCGGGTGGTGCTGGCGCCCGAGGAGAGGGAGGCGCTGCGCCAGGCCTACCAGCTGGAGCCCTATCCCTCGCAGCAGACCATCGAGCTGCTGTCCTTCCAGCTCAAGCTCAAGACCAACACCGTCATCAACTGGTTCCATAACTACAGGTGGGGGGCGCAGGATCGCGGGGGGGATCGTGAGGGGGGGTGTGGGATCATGGCGGGGAGCACGGGATCATAGGGGGAGCCCACGGGATCACGGCCCCCCACGGGATCGTGGGGGGAAGAGGCATGGGATTGCGGTGGGGTGTGCGGGATCGTCGGGTGCCCACAGGATCGCGAGGGGGTATGGGATCGTGGGGGGAGCATGGGATCATGGGGGGCCCCCACGGGATCAGGGAGGGGAGGGGCAGCAGAGGGGGGGCATGGGATCACAGGGGGAGGTGCGGGAGGGCAGGGAGATTAGACTCAGGAAAACCGGGCCAGCCTGTGTCCCACAGAGGTGCCGACCACCCAGTCCACACAAGATGTCCACACAGAGCACCACTGGCCACCATCCAGCCTGCCCTACGGCTGCCCCTAGGGGGGACCAGGAGATGAGGGAGGAGTGCGTGACGCAAACAGGCTGCGAGATAAATAGGGCATTTATAAACCCACAAAGTGTGTGTGTGGGGGGGTCCCAGCTCACGCCTGTAACCCTAGCTACTCAGGAGGCTGAGACCTGAGGATCGTGGTTCAAAGCCAGCCTGGGCAGGAAAGTCCCTGAGACTCTTATTTCCAATGAACCAACAGAAAACCAGAAGTGGCGCTGTGGCTCAAGTGGTAGAGCGCTCGCCTTGAGCTGAAGAGCGCAGGGACAGCACCCAGGCCCAGAGTTCAAGCCCCACGACCAACCAAAAGAAAAGCTCTAATCATCCAGCAGGCGCCTCACTGGCTTGGGGTCCCCCACTCCTGAGGCCAAGGAAAGCCTCGTCTCCCTGGCCCGCCCCGCTTGCCAAGGGCTGTGGTCTCCTGTCCTGACTGCCCCAGTCTGCCCCGCGCCCAGCCAGCTCCAGGGAGACCAGGCTAAGCACCACCAAGCACCATGTGGCACAGAGAGGGGCGGCCCCCAGCCAGCCCAGTGGCAGAATGAAAGTCTTGACCCCTGAGAAGTGGAAAAGCGGCTGGGGTGGGGCCGGAGGCCAGACACGGGGGTGCTCAGCCTGGGCACTGGCACTGCACAGACCTCAGGGGAAGCTGGGCTGTGTGGCCTTGGGCAGGTCTCTTCCCTCTCTGAGTCTCCTCTGCATTTACAGAGCACTCGACCTAGGTCAAGTGAAATAAGCGCAGGTGTTAAGTACACTGTGGCTGAGTCTAGAGTCTGCCAAAAAGAAAAAGACATAGGTCCCACCAGCCCCTTCCCCTCATGGCCACGTAGATCGTTCCCCTGGGGCCCAGTGGTCAGCCCGAGACAAGGAATAGGGGCTGGGGGGAGGGGAAGGAAATCCTGCCTAGGGAACCTATTGCACAAGCAGCAGCATTTAAGCTGGGTTTTGAGGATGGATAGGAGTTTGCCCCTAGGAACAGAGAAAACTGTACTCTCCGGATGTGAGTTGCAGGACATGCATTGGGGTGGGCAGGAGTTTGCAGAGCTTGCTGTGTGCCGGGCTGCCCCACACAGCTCAGCCTGAGCACAGCCAGGCCGCGGCGCTCACGCCCGTCTCTGCCCCAGGTCCAGGATGCGCCGGGAGACGCTGGTGGAAGGAGCCCAGGATGAGCCGGAGCTGGATCCCAGCGGGGATCCCGGCGCCCGGCCACCCCGCCACGGCCCCCCAGACCCCACCCCGAGGAGCCCCTCGTCAGAGGCCGAGGAGCAGAAGCCGGAGCTGAGCGAGCTGCGGGCCTGCGGGGCCGGGGCCGCACCCCTGTCCGCCCCAGACCGGGCAGGCGTGAGGGTCAAGCAGGAGCGGACCGAGGAGGAGGGGGGCTGTGAGCCCCAGGACTTGGGGGAGCCGGACCCAGCCCGAGCCGCCCCCAAAGAGGAGCACGTGGACCCTCCGGGCAGCGAGGAGCTCCCTGAAGGGGCACTGGGGCCCCTCCTTCCCGCGGGGCTCCCCTCAGACTGCCCTTGGCAACACCCCTGCCACGAGGGCCAGGCCCGGCCGCGGCCACCCGCCCCGGAGTCCGAGTCGTCCCGCGGCAGCCTGG